AATACGGTGGCACGTGCCACCCATGCCACCACATTAGGTCCGCCCATGATACACACACACACACACATATATATATATATATATATATATATACACACACAGACACACACACAGGTTCATTTGAGAAGTGATAAGTATTTAACAAGTACATAAGTGATCCTAATATTTCATCTGGTAATGATTTGCGGCTTTGAATGTGAAGCACTAAATAATTATTCGCATAGTATGCGAAAAATAGAGGGATGGTTTAGTAACTTTTACAAATAGGCGGCAAAACAAATGTGCATGTGAACCCATGTAATTCATATATGAACTATTTAACTAATTCACATATGAACTCATGTGATTCACATATTTCATATATGCCTTTATGAGTTTATGTATGCACTTGTTTGCTGCCTATTTGTAAAAGTTACGAAACTACCCCACTATTTTTCGCTTGACCAGTCAAAGTCGCAATCTTTAACCTGTCAAAGCCGTAATTCTTAACCGTATGAAGGGCTGAGATCACTTCTTAATTCGCAGATACTTACCACTTCTCAAATGAACCTCTCATTATATATAGGGGCTTAATCATTTGAGAACTCCATATTTTGTGATAACCGTGAGGACTTTTATCTTAAGGTATTGTGTCACAAGCTTTTTTCTCATCTAAGACTAGCATTTAATGTATTGATGAATATATTTTTGTTTCACCGTGTGTTTGATTCATATGTGCAATTCACACTTTATGGCATGCCAAAAGGGCTCGTGCAGTTGTCCGACACAAAGTTTGTGAATAAGTGATTGTCTGACAATGAGCAAGAAATACAATATCACAAAAATTTACTTGTATGTTTTGTTTCACAAACAGGTTAAAATATTATTAAACAAATATATGTTAATCGATGTTCTAAATCCTAGCCTTAGATGTTATAAAATAACACATGGTGCACTAGTTCTCAAGGTTATTACAATTTCATAAGTTCTCAAAAAAAGGTTACCAAATATTTGACAAAAACTCAATGATATGGATCCTAGTCCATTAGACGAACCACCCGGGCTCATTCATAATAGCACCGGCCCATCAAGAACTCGTGGCTAGCATGGGCCGCCGGCTAGGCATCAAGAACCCATCCAACCATCTTTTTATTTTAAGTATTGTTTTATTTTTATACAGTTATCTTTGCCTTAGTTGTCGGGATTATACCCCATGTTTATCTCTTTAGTTTTTCTATTTAAATATTGTAATCAAAGGTTGGAGGGTGTTGGATTTTTTTTGAATAAAAAAAAGTACGTATTGTTTTCTGTTCGTCTTTTCCGAAGGCGGGTTACCCAAGCTAGGGTTTCTAGCTTCCACTAGTACGAATCCGTATCACTCAAAAAATCTAATTCTGAAAAACAACTTATCAAATATCATCTACTGTCTGTTAGTGTAAATTTCATAAAAAAAACTGAATGTTACAATTTATTACAATATACGTATAAATTCTTACAATTATTTGAACACCCTCAAAATGAACTAACAACCAACTTATAAACTTGTTAAAACAAAAGATAATCGTTAAGCCCTACTAATACAGATATAATGCCCTACCATTATCGAATAAAAAATTATCATTCAAGCTAAATAAATTACATCTTTATTATTAAATCTAAAATATTTAAATTATTATAAAATTTTGATTTAAACAAATTAAATCAAAAAACAAGATTTCTTCAATCTTTAATTTGACACTCATTTCGAGATATATATATATATATATATATACACACACACGTATATATAGGGGTCTAATCAAATGAGAACTAAATAGTTTGTAGTAACCATGTGATCCAATGTGAGTCACTCATTTAATATTATTAATGTTAATTTTTAAAATAAAATAAAAGGATAATTTGGTAATTTGACAATTTAGATTTTTTATAACAAATAAGTTCCATAATTAATTACTCATTCCAATCCTACAGTTACATAGTTGCTTTCAATTTACCCTAGTTGAAGCCCACACCTCTTTCTTCTCTCTCCTCTCTAGATTGAACTTTCGTCGGAGATGTAACCTATATGTAACCAGATCTCGCAGTGGTTGAGGCGGTGGTGGTAGTGTTCGTGAAGGAGGCGGCGGATACGAAGTCACCTCTTGCTTATTTCTCTTCTCTCGTTTGAACTTTCGCTGGAGAAGTAACACAGATCTAACAATGGTGGAAGCGGTGGTGGAGGTCGCCGTGAAAGAGGTGTTGGTGTTACGGAGGCGGTAGATACGGAGGAGGCCATAACCGTAAATATGGTGGTGATACAGCCCATCATTGCAGACTTTGGTGTCGATTAAATCGACACTGACCCACTATATATGAATATGATGTCTATTGGATTCGATAAAACCACTAAGACCCAGTGACCCACTAAGATCCATTATAGCCCAATAAGACTCTTTGTGACTTACTAAGGCCCAATAACATCAATGATGATTTATTACCTATTTGTATGTGGTTACTAAACAACATAAACACGCACATTATAATTATCAATACATGCATTCACGTATACACGTACATGTGTGTGTATGTGTGTGTATATATATATACACATCATATACGGTTGTCAAACAACACACACACATTATCTATACATTCACATATACGTATGCATACAAACATATATACATCATCTGAGACATGTATTCTCAACAATGGATACATAGATCCAATCGTGGTTAGTAACCAACACATATGTTCATCATGTATACATACGTATAACACTGACTGACAGATACATGAAACACATACACATGTATATATATGACACATGCACATACACATGTGTACATATAACACATAAAAATGAAAAAAATAAGAAAAGTAGGCTAATCCCTTTCTAATTAGTGACGAATTAGCTACAAATACCAATTAGCGAGGGATAGACCACAAACCCGAATAGTCGCTATTTAGCGGGGGATTAGGGACGAAAAGGGTTTGTGGCATATCCATCGCTAATCCCTCGATAATTAGGGATGGAATGGGTTTGTGGTCTATCCATCGTTAATCCCTTGCTAATTCCCGACGGATTATCTACATCACTCAAATATGTCGCTATGATTTGTCAAAAATTACTTTTTTTATTTCTATAGTTTCAAAATTACAAGATGACCATCATGGTTTGTAAAAACGTTCAAATTTGATCTCTTCCTATAACAATTGTTAAAGGAGGGGTATTTTGGTCTTTTTCTCAATTTTATTTTTTATTTATCCAATCAAAAACCACATGGACCAAATCATAAAATTGATTTTGATTGGTCAAAGGACAAAAAATGAATAAAAGAACAAAAATGCCCTTCATTTAACGAAATTTTTTAACGGTTGTTAAAAAGTGCGATCAGATCCAGACATTTTTACAAATCACGATAATCATGTTGTAATTACAGAGGCAAAACATATTATTTTCAACAAACGATTAGACTAAGGGGCCGTTTACTAACGCTTACTTGGTAAGTGTTTACCAAGTAAATTTTTTTTATCGAATGAACATAACAAGGACCAAGAATCTTACCGGGTAAGAGGGATGAGAAGGATGGAGAGTCTTACCCGGTAAGTGAAGATTACGACTCTTACCCAGATAAGCGCTTACCCGGTAAATTGTTGCATTCAATACGTTTTGATGTATTAAAATCTTACTCATCAAAATAAATTATTGTATTAACTCCTATAGATAAACACTACCAAGTAAGTATTTGGATAAATAGCCAAAAATTTGTTGTTGTACTCTGAATAAAACAATGTAATTAACATGATGACTTATTTTTAGCTTTTTTTATATTATTATTTGAAATTTCTTGCTTAGAAAAAAGCTGCCAGAAGAAATTTTATAATGGTTTTCTAACCAATCAAATAATTTCTTAAAAGGTGCATCACATGATAAATATTATTATTGAGAGAATAAATGTGCACGAGTTTTGCATGTCCGTAATGGACGGTAAAAACGTGAGTCAAATAGTAACCGATGAAAATAATTTATTAACTTATTCTGATATGATATTAGTAATAAACATTTTTTAGTGTTTGGATAAACAATTTATATCGGTGTCAAACCGGTAATAAAAAGTTTTTGAAGAAATTAAACTCTTATGGCTTATAATAAGTTGATAAATACTTATATATAAAAACATAAATTGTTTCAAATAAACAATTCCAAACACATCCAATATAAAAAGACAGTTTGATTTTACAAAATGTTTTTAAGAAATCTGAATTTCGTAAAATAATTTAAAATCTTTAATATCTATGATAATATAACTGACTGAATAAGTTGTGAGTCTCATTAAACTGCAAACAAACATACCCATCTCTATCTAATTACGGTTTGAAAAATCTTAATCCAACCCAACCCAAACGAAAGTGCAACCCAACCCAACCCAAACCGTACGGGTTGGTCGGGTCGATACTTTGGTACATTAAAATATTCTTCTAACATTGAATATGTTATTTCTCTACTCATAATTTATTTTTCATCATCAACCATTTGATATAACTTATTCAAACTTCTTACGTATATCACATTCAGTTAATTTTTTCTCAATTTACGTGTATAATGTTTAAAATTACTGAACATATAAACGAATGAGTTATATAGAGATGTAAATAGATTGAAAAGATGTGTATATGAAGAGCGTACGTGATAGTGTTATTGTCTAATGCATATATTAATAGAAATTCAATAATCATATTAAATCCAAAAAATAAAAGGATATCGGGTTCATTGGATTGGGTTGGGTTGGGTTCAAATAATAGTAACCCATTATCAACCCAATACCTATGATTTGAAAATTTTACAACTCGATTAGACATCTGGTTACTTCGGGTTGAATTATTTCGCGTTGGTTTGAATTGGGTTGAGTTGGGTTCATCGGGTTGATCGGGTTTTTAAGCAACTCTGATTGGAACCATCATGCATAGTTTTGTTTACCTATGAAAATATTTCCTCTATAAAATGGTTATGATAGTTCACTTTACAAAGCACCACAGCCATGGAGGCAAAACTCTCCAACATCCGTCTATCCACGGTGGTTCCCGGTCAGATGACGGTGGAAAACACCGTCCACCACCTCACAAACACCGATTTGGCCATGAAACATCACTACATTAAAGCAGTATATTTCTTCAACAATGAATTTGCGGAATTAGGTTTAATCATTTCCGATCTGAAAACCGCCATGTCTCACCTCCTAAGCCGGTACTTCACGGTGGCTGGCCGGATCCGACGACGGCCGGAAGACAACCGGCCGTTCATCAAGTGTAACGACGGCGGCGTTAGGGTGGTTGAAGCGGAGAGCAACACGAGCATCGATGAATGGGTGGAGATGAAACATTCCGATGTGAGTGAACTCGCTTATCGAGATCATGTTCTTGGCCCTGACCTTCAATTCTCTCCCCTGCTTTTTCTTCAGGTATTTTCATTTACTTTTCTCTCATTTTTTTATGTTTAATTCTTCATTAAACAAAATAAAATAAATAAGAAAAAAATTAGGTTTATATAACACCAAAAAATTAAGCGTCCTAATAAAACACTTTACAAGACTTAGGGGCCGTTTATCAAACGCTTACCCGGTAAGCACTTACCAGTAAAATTCAAAACTATCACTTACTTACCGGGTAAGCTTTTAGTCGATAAAAACAGCATCGTATGCAACAATTTACCCGGTAAGTGCTGATCGTGTTAAGAGTCTTCGTCCTTACTTACCGGGTAAGACTCTTGGTCATTGTCTTGCTCTTACCGCGTAAAGATTCTTGGTCCTTACCATATTCATACGTAAGGTAATGTGACTTGTTAAGAGTTTACCCGAATAAGCGTTTGGTAAACGGCCCCTTAATTTATAGGATTAAAAATAAAAAATATATCTAAATGCATTGCAATAAGTTTATAGGACGTTTTTATACATTCTAACAAGTCTTTAGGATACTTATAATATAAAGCGTCACATTAGCAATTTTATATAACACTATTTAAAAAAGTTTTTTATAAAAACAAACGTTCTATAAAAAGATGGCTTTTAGAACGCTTATTTTGTTTTGGCGTTGTATAAACCTAATTTTGTTGTAGTGATACTTTTTTCTTAATTGTTTGAATAATTAGTATTATCTAATCCTAATTTATAATTTCTATTTTATTGTTATTGTAATCTATACTATATTATAAAATATTTGACAAAAACTCTTAAAACCACTTTTTATGCGTAAAGTACTGTTTATTAATGCATAATACTTAAAAACTCAAGATTGCAAGTAGATTGTGCGTAAGTACAACTTATTAAAGCTTCATATCTGAACTCGTATAACTAACTGCAGATAAACATAATCAAATACAGGATAAACATCTCATTTTAAATATAAAAAATCTAAAATATAATTATGATAATCATTGTGTTCTAACAGAATACTTAATTATTATCTTTATAAAATGTTATATTATTAAACCAAAAATAAATTATTTTGTTATTAAACTTAAATTAAATTATAAAAAAAATTAAAGAAATTACATAAAAAAATGAAAACTTTTAAATAGTTTATTTTGATATTAACATTGATATTTTTTTTTAAAATTTTTATGATATCTTTAAATTTATATTTATTCAAAAATAAAATCATTATTGTTTTATTAAAAACACATAAAATCGTATTATAACATCAACAGAGACAAATAATAAAATAGAACATTAAAATCGAGATGTATCTCGCTGCATTACGCCAGTACTGTTCTAGTTATTTATAATTTGACTATATATTAATATCTCATATTAACCGAACATAATTTTCAATATTTTTGGTTGCATATTTCAATTCTCAACTCAAAATATATGTGAATTTATCTCGATTTCTTTTGTTTTTTTTAACTAGAGATTTTTTAGCGTTAATCTTTTTTAAATCAATATAAATTTTTTATTTTAATATATACTATATTTAAGATATTTGATTTGTGAATGGATGTATAAATATTTTTTTTTAATAAAAAGTTTGAGAAAATACGTGAATTACATTATATATTAGAGCATATTGCATTTTTGGTCTCTAAAGTTTGTTTAAAGACCAATGACTCTTTCATAATGATTGCTAACTAACATTGTTAAGTGTATGGACCATGTGTGTTATGAAAATGAAAAGTCAGAAACCATCAATATATATAGTTTGTTTTAGGGATCAAATCCAAGAGTTGAGCAAATCACAGGGACCGCTAGTGTAATTCACTCTAATTTATTTGACTTTAACTTAGGGCCATTTACCAAATGGTTACTTGGGTAAGCGTTTACCAAGTTATATTACCTTACGAGATGAATATTATAAGAACTAAAAATCTTACCCGGTAAGAACGAGGCAAGGACCGAGAGTCTTACCCGGTAAGTGAGGGCAATGACTCTTACCATAGTCAGTTCTAACTGGGTAAATTGTTGCATAAAAAACCGTTTTTATCGACTAAAATCTTACCAGTAAGTAAATAATATTATTGAATTTTCTCAGTAAGTACTTACCGGGTAAATGTTTTATAAATGGCCCTTTAGTGGTTGTTTACCAAACACTTACCCCGTAAGTGTTTAGCGGTAAAATTTAACACTACCACTACTTACCGGGTAAGATTTTGCTCCACCAAAACGATATTGTATGCAACAATTTATCCGGCAAGTACCGTGGTAAGAGTCGTCGCTCTCACTTACGAGTAAGACTCTTGTTCCTTGTCTCGTCCTTACCGTGTAAGATTATTGATCATTACTATATTCATCTGATAAGGTAATGTGACTTAAAAAGGACTTACCCGGGGGTTGTTTTAAAAGATATGTTAATCATATTTTTTTTGGATCAAATCAAATACATCTGATTGTTGAGATCTGTTTCTATATTCCAAATATTTTAGTTGTTTTTATTTGAATTTTTCTGTTATTTTTGTATTTAAATAATTTTTATTAATTTATGTACCAAATTAAATATTATATTTTTCTTTTATCAAATGATTAATTATTATTTTTATACACCAATTTATTTATCAAATACAAAGTGAAAATAAATGCAAAAAATTAACAATTTTTCTTTCTTTTGAGTTGTCTAAAATATCCAACTTTAATGTTTTTGAGAAGATTATTTCCAAATTCTCTTTTTTTCATATCAACAATTTTTAAAAAAAATCCTGAGAGGCGTCTTAACTGGTAAAATCGTGGGTTAGTTTTTGAGATGCATCAGTTCAGATCCCATCAGTATCACTTAAGGATTTGTCTGATTGTAACTTCATGACGTCATTAAATTAGTCGGGGTAGTCTGAACATGGTTGAAAAAACAATATTTGAGGATGCTAATAAGATTGATTTTGATTTATAATTATTTTCTATTATATGTTATAAATAAGTTTTTAGGAACCACAAGGGTGGTGTCCGAATGATTTGAGCTTGAGCTCCAAAGGTCAAAAGTGCGTGGAGGTCCCAGATTCAAATCCAAGAAGGAATAAAAATCCCCTTGTGGCCACAAAGGTTCAAATGTGGTGACTCTGGGCTACCTGCAAAGCTGGTGATCACCCTGAGATTAATCGGCTCGCATAGCGGGTTGGATATGAGGATGTCCAGGTTAATAAAAAAAAAGTATTTTAGGTATTTTACTCTAAAAACATCTTCATTTTATATACGTTTCAGTTTACGAAGTTCAAATGTGGAGGGTTCTCAGTTGGATTGAATTGGTCTCACGTCATCGGAGATGCATTCTCGACTTCAACCTTCGTCAACATGTGGGCTCAAATTGTTAACTGCAAAACCTTATCTCATATTTCAATTTCTACAAAATTACAGATTTCAGAGAGACCATCTACCTTCCAAAACATCGATCTTGTTGGAAACCACTGGTTCAATGTCAATAACACCAAAATGGTAACATTTTCCCTTCACATTTCTTCCAAAAATCTTGACCAAATAACTTCAAAGGCCAATGCCAAGCCTTTCCAAGCTCTTTGTGCCACCATATGGAAGTCATTAGCTAAGATAAGAGCACAACTCGAACCCAAGACCGTTACCATATGCACATATGGTTCTCAAAAGAACGAAATTAAATCTCAAGGGAACAATCAGAGGGTAAGCAAGGTGGTTGTTGATTTTACGGTTTCAGAGGCTAGCGTGATTGATTTGGCGGAACTGATCACCGTTAAACAAAACAACTCAGATGCCATGTTTTACGGGGAAACATTGACTTTTGTGAATCTAGAAGAAGCTAAACTATATGGATTCGAGCTAAAAGGGCACAAACCGGTTCTTGCAAACTATGCAATGACAGGGGTCGGGGATGAAGGAGTTGCGTTAGTTCTTCAGGGTCCAGAAAATTATCGTGGACGATTGTTGACCATGACATTACCAAGTGATCAGGTGGTAGCTTTAAAGAATGAACTTATAAAAGAATGGAATATTGGACGTGACTGAAAACCAACGATAATACATAATTTTGAGTCATTGAATTCTAGTTTGATACACAAGTAGCAAAATGAGTAGACGTGGTTCCTTTTTCGGTTTCGGTTAGCAATCAACGTGAAAATAGTTGGTGAACTATTTCTATAAGAGTTAATCATTATGTAACGACAACATTTTTCTCGGACTGTAAACATGATGTATTGACTTTATTACGATGAAATAAATTTCGATGATGGTTGATTTACTAAAGGTGTTGTAGATAAGTTTGTGGAAAAGTTGATATTTGAAGTAGGGTGAACAACAGTTCAGGCAAGTTTCGTGTTAACTTTAGTAAAATAGATATATGTTGAATGGGATACCTGTTATTAGTTTTTTTTGTAAAACATGTATAAGACGCCTTTTAGAAGTATCACATAAAAAGATTATTAGAATAATCTATTTCTCATGTCCAACTGCTCTTCGATAAAATTTGTTAGGTTGTTTTATAATACCCGTCAGATATGTATGTGTGTGGGTATATATATATATATATATATATATATATATATATATATATTGAAGTTTGGGTTAGTTTCGGAAGTTGACCGATCTTGAGGGGTTAGTTCTGCATAACTCGCTTTAACTTTTCAATTTGGATGATGGGCTTGGGCTTGGGCTTTTGTATTTAGATTAGGGTTTAATTAGGGTTTTTTTTAATTCTTATATAAACCTAACCCTAATCCTTATTTAGCCTACCCTAATTCTTATATAAATCTAACCCTAATACCTCTAAATGTGTTAGCCGCTAGAAAGAAACTCTAAGAGCTTGGAAGAATCCATTGATAACCTAGGAGGGAGCCAACGGCCAAAAGCAAGCAAGGTTCCACCGATTTCTTGTCGGTTTGAGGTAAGTTTTTGTCCCATTCTCGAATCTATACATTTAGTAGTTGGGTTATAAATTTTTGGGATTGTTCCGATGACTCGAAGGTCCCCGATTCGGTCAATAATAATGGCAGCAACTAGGGTATGTCAAAATCGTCTTTAAAACCCAAAAATTCTTCTCGTTTTTCTCTCGAATTTGATCTTATGTTGGTGCATAGTATGGATATATATATATATATATTGATAGGATTTAGTTGAGTTTAGTTACATTATAAGTCGTTAAAGTGATTTAGTTTCGTTATGCCATCAAGTTATCAATTAGGATTAATAGTAAGTTTGGGTGTTTGTTTAGGGCATATATAAAGGAATAAACTTGGGGAAATCAATAAGTTTTGTAAAGTTTAAGGTACGGATTCCTAAACCTTTTTGTTCAGTTAGCTCGTTTAAATATGCTTATGAATTCGTGAGTCTCGTTTAACTCATATTTATCCAAATTGTTCGTTATTGCATCTTTCATTCAATCGTATTTGTTCTACGTCATGTATGTATGTATATATATATATATATATATGGCAAATGCGTCTTGTCCTAATCATGCTATTGGAGTTATTCGAGTTAGTACACGTTTATTTGTTCGGTAACATTTTGGTATGATTTTTACTTCTAAAAGTACGTATGTTGGTATTTTTGATCGATTATGTATTCTTCTAATTGAGCCTCTTTATTATTACAACTACTTGTTTATTCAACATAATTCCGTACTTGACTTATGTTCGACTTTTCGTTTGATTTCGTTATTTATTGACCATATGTAAGATGTATAACGTCACATTCGTTGTGACAACTCAACTCTGGGTAGCTCGAGCTGCTAACCACCTATGGGGGTACCATAGGCACGTCATTGTGGCACCGATGGCGTGACACTAACCGTGGCAGTGTGATCAGTCCACGGCGTCTCCTCTTTTGGTGCTCTTGTGAGAGCTATTTTGGTGTGATGGATATTCGATTTAGGAGGTGTATGGGTCGGCCCTAGCATATGTGATTCGTTTGTAGGGTGGATGTCGGTGTAGTGTCCAACGCCATATCTCACATTTGGTACGTGTGGATCTGCAGTCCAACGTACATGCCTGTGTGGCCATATGTCTGACACTTGTCATGTGAGTTAATATGCAAGTGTATGCGTTTTCGAGCTCGATGTGTCCTTTCATATGATTTCGTATGAGTATGTTATTTGTTGATTTTCTAAGATTTTGATACTCGTTTGGTTCGATGTCTTGAAATAATTTTGGCATGTTTGTATTACCGTTTTTCTATATTTGTTTATCCGTTCACTGGGCATTTGGCTCAGCCATGTTTTCTTCTATTCCTCACGGCAGGTAATCAAGGGGCGGCTAGGTTTTGTGACAGAGAGTAGATCAGAATCTTGGTTCCAAGGATTTCAAGAGGCTTAGTGTTATGTTAATTCATTAATGAATTTTATTTCCTTTTTGGCTATTAGATTAGATTTCCTTTAAGAGTTGTTTTTGGATTTTCCTCGGTTATTGGAGGATTTTGGAAGTGGTTTGTTTGGAGACCTTTATATCTTATTTGTAGATATATTCAATTTTGTTATTGGAAGATTTTATTTTATTTCTTTGTAATGGAGACTATATTTTGGAGGTTTATATAGCGGCTCCGTTACGTTTTGAAGCAACCTCCTTTCCTTCGGAATGGGGGTGTTACATGTTTAGTCGTTGATCTGTATATGTTTTTGTATAACACAATTGTTTATTGATATATCGTTGGTTGGACTGCTTGATACATGTAAACGAGTCATTATACAAGTATAGTGTCAACAAATGTTAAGATGGTTTCGTTCTACTTTGATCGTAAGATCCTGTTACATTGTTTGTATTTTAACGTTAAGGGTAGTGTTACTTTACGAAGTGTATCAAGGTATGTATTTTCGTTGTTTTATGAAGGGTATTACAATGTGTATTTTCGTTATTTTTATTGTTTTACAAAGGGTATCACAATGTGTATCTTGTGTATCACAGTGAGTATCATTTGCATTTTTAACAGTGTCGACGTTTTTTAGGCATCACACTATGTATTTTGTGTTCACATGATGTTTGTCAGAATAATGTTCGCCAGAGCAAAGAGAGATAAAATTTCTAAAATGCACTTTAATTTAAATTTTAAGTCAAAATTACGAAAATTATTAATTTCATAATTTATCCATTAATTTGTGGTTAAGATTAGATCTCATAGTTTTCATAAAATACTGAGTTATCATTTGAATAACCCCATATATATATATATATATATATATATAGAGAGAGAGAGAGAGAGAGAGAGAGAGAGATGAACGATCAATTGAAAATCACCCTCATTTGTACAAACCGTACAAACCACCCTCATACGTCGATTTCATTGTTTAATCTTATGAAATTTTTTCATGAAATTGTTTAATCCTGTGAAATTGTTTCATATAATACTTTTTTTGATGATTTTGTTTCATATATGGTTATGAAATTGTTTCATATAATATTTAATGAAACTGTTTCATGTATTTCTTTAAAATTAAAATAATGAAGATGATAATATCCATGATTAACACCCTCCACAATAAAAATGGTTAATCAACCTCTCATAATTACAAAAAAATGAACAAAATGAAAAATTATGATTGGTTGAATGAAGTTTTTCACGGTTTGTACAAATTCAGATGGGGCTATCCATGTGTGGCTTGAGAGGTTTCAGAAACAGAAGCCTCAATCCTTCAGTTCGGCACCGACTCCCGTGGATGCAGAAAACTGGGTCTCACACATACATAAGATTTTTGAGGTTTTGGGGTGTCCGGAACCGTATAAGGTTAAGTTGGCGGCATATAAACCGGAAGGAGATGCTCAAAGATGGTAGGACGCGATCAAGCAAGCTAAAGGAAATGAATACGTTGATGCCCTTTACGGATGGGGTTCCGTGAGGCGTTTTATCAGTAGTATTTCTCAGCTGCGGATAAGAACGCATTTGTAAAAGAGTATGCCACAATTCGCCAACGAGATGATGAGTCTGTAACAAAGTATTTGGCAAGATTCTTGAGGCTCGCTGGTTTTGCAGGGTCGTCAGTCGGGACATCTCTAGAGCAGGCTGAAAAGTTTAAGTGGACAATTCATTACCGGTACCGTTCCATTCTTATCAATGAGAAATTTACGGATGTGGCACAGGCGGCAGATGCTGCCAAGAATATTAAGATGGAGCGGCAAGACTTTTTGGCATCCAAATCAGATGGGGGAAAGAAAAGAAGTCGAGATGGGCAACAAATTCAGCAGATGGGGCAACTAAATCAGCAGCAAGGTGGTAACAGTGGGAATTAGTGGGGACAGAATAGTAGCAAGCGTCAGGGGCAGTGGCAAGGTCAAAATCAGGGTCAGAGGCAACCGTACCGTCAGCAAGGTCATCAGGGATAGGGGCAGAACCAGACTCGTTCTCAAAGGTCAGGCGACAAGAGTAATAATGATTCGGTCCCTCAATGCAATTCGTGTGGAAGGCGCCATCCTGGAAACGTGTGTTATAGGGCTTCCGGAGCTTGCTTTTTGTGCGGTCAGGTGGGACATTTGGCGAGAGATTGCAAGAAATCTCGTAGCACCGACAAAGGAAATGACACCAAGGCAACTAGTGGAGGTAGGGTGTTTGCCTTATCAGTTAACCAGGCAGCAAATTCAGGAATGATTTCGGGAATTCTTTCGATTGGCACACGATGTTTATGCTTTATTTGATACGGGGGCAACCCATTCTATGGTTTCTTTGATTTTTGCTAATCATCTTAGAGTACCTTGTACATCGTTAGAATCGCCTCTAGTTATTGCTACTCCTTTGGGTAATTCAGTAGTTATATCTCGAGAATTTAAAAGGTGTCCTTTAAAAGTAGGAGGTCAAGTTCGTGAGGTCGATTTACTCCCTATTAGCATGAACGATTTTGATGTTATTTTGGGTATGGACTGGTTGTCAAAGCATAAAGCAACAATTAAGTGCCAAGCTAAGCAAGTAATCTTCGGCGACAAATAGATGCCTGATTTTGTGTATCAAGGATTTCAACCAAAAAGAGAAGTAAAGATCATATCTGCCTTAAAAGCTCAAAAGTTAGTTTTCCATGGATGTCAGGGATTTCTAGCGTTGGTTAAAGACACATCGGTGGAAGAGCGTTCCCCTGAAAGTCAACTAGTGGTCAGAGAMTTTCTTGATGTATTTCCGGACGAACTTCCAAGAGTACCACTGGTCCGAGAGGTGGAGTTCACTATAGATTTGGTTCCTGGTGCATAACCCATCTCTAAGGCACCTTATAGAATGGCACCTCTAGAATTACAGGAACTTATGGAGCAACTGCAAGACCTCCTAGAGTGTGGGTTTATCAGACCAAGTGTCTCTCCTTGGGGTGCTCCAGTATTATAAGTGAAAAAAAAGATGGCTCAATGAGGCTATGTATCGATTACAGAGAATTGAACCGGGTCACTATTATAAACAAATACCCTTTGTCACGTATTGATGACTTGTTCGATCAACTTCAAGGAGCTAAGTACTTCTCGAAGATAGATCTAAGGTCAGGCTACCATCAATTGAGGGTAAAAGATCAGGATGTTTCAAAAACCGCATTCCGCACTTGATACGGGCATTATGAATTTTTGGTGATGCCTTTCGGTCTAACTAATGCCCCAGCCGTTTTTATGGACCTAATGAACCGGGTATTTAGTGCCTACCTAGACAAGTTCGTTATCGTATTTATTGATGACATACTTGTATTCTCTATGTCAAAGGAGGAACATGAAGGTCATCTACGTGTTGTCTTGGGAACTCTGCGAGATAAGCAATTGTATGCCAAATTCTCTAAGTGCGAATTCTGGCTYGAGCGGGTAGCATTTCTGGGTCACGGAGTGTCAGCTGATGGTATTACTGTGGATCCGGCAAAAGTGGAGGCCGTGACTAATTGGCCAAGACCTACWACAGTGACTGAAGTTCGAAGTTTTTTAGGACTTGCAGGTTATTACAGGAGATTTGTAGAAGGATTTTCTTCTATAGCACTACCTTTGACTCGATTGCTGAGAAAGGGGGTGAAATTTCTATGGAAAGACGAACAGGAGAAAAACTTCGAAGAGTTGAAAAAGAGGTTGGTTTCTGCGCCCGTACTCACTTTGCCTTCGGGAACGGGTGGATATCAAATCTATAGTGATGCTTCCAAAAATGGTCTCAGCTGTGTACTAATGCAACATGGAAAAGTTGTTGCTTATGCCTCTAGGCAACTCAAGCCATATGAAGTAAACTATCCCACTCATGATCTAGAGTTGGCAGCAGTGATCTTCGCTTTAAAAATCTGGAGGCATTATCTTTACGGAGAAACTTGTGATATTTTCACGGATCACAAGAGTCTCAAATACATATTCACCCAGAAAGAACTTAATATGAGGTAAAGACGTTGGCTAGAGCTTCTCAAAGATTATGATGCAAGAATCCAATACCATCTAGGAAAAGCCAATCTAGTGGCAGATGCCCTTAGTCGAAAAAGTTCAGGGAACTTGTCACGCCTTACTCAACCTCATATCGTCTTGGATTTGGAACGCATAGATGTTGAGGTTTATGATAATCATTCAGATGGGTGGCTAGCAAGTTTTACAGTGGAGCCCACTTTGATTTCACGAGTCAAAGAAGCCCAAAAACAAGACGGAGAGCTCTGGGCCATATTACAAAAGATAGATGACGGTAAGCAAGCTGATTTTCGGGTTGATGCAGACTATGTGATATGGTTTGGAAATAGACTGTGTGTCCCCAATGACCCGGAAATTCGCGAGACGCTATTGAAGGAAGCACACAACTCGCCATTCTCTATTCATCCTGGATCYACAAAGATGTATAGAGATCTGAAGCAAAACTTTTGGTGGAATGGAATGAAGCGAGACRTAGCTAACTTTGTAGCAAAATGTCTTACTTGCCAGAAGGTAAAAATCGAACACCAAAGAGCGAGTGGATTTCTACAACCGTTAGAAATTCCAGTGTGGAAGTGGGAGGATATCTCAATGGACTTTGTAACTGGGTTACCGAAGACGCTTAAGAAGAATAATGCCATTTGGGTTGTGGTCGAGCGATTGACTAAGTCGGCTCACTTTCTTCCTATTCAAGAAGGGTATCCAGTCAGTAAGTTATCAAAACTCTTTCAACGAGAGATAATCAGGCTTCATGGCACACCAGTATCTATAGTATCTGACAGAGATCCTCGATTTACTTCACGATTTTGGAAAGGTTTTCAGAATGCATGGGGCACGAGACTCAAGTTCAGTACGACCTTTCACCCTCAAACAGATGGACAATCTGAGCGAACGATCCAAACTTTGGAGGATATGTTAAAGTCATGTGCTTTGGAATGGTTTGGAAGTTGGGATGAGTACTTATGTTTAGTAGAGTTTGCATATAATAATAACTGGCAAGCAAGCATTGGTATGGCCCCGTTCGAGGCTCTGTATGGCCGAAGATGTCGGGCACTAGTATGTTGGAATGAGGTTGGTGAGGCTGTTATTGAAGGGCCAGAACTTGTAAGAGTCACTAATGAAAAGGTGGCAGTAGCCAAGGAAAAAATGAAAGAAGCTCAATCACGTCAAAAAAATTATGCAGATCGTCATCGGAAAGCTTTAGAATTCCAAACAGGGGATCACGTGTTCCTTAAGGTTTCTCCTTTTCGAGGTATACGACGGTTTGGCTTAAAAGGGAAACTAAGTCCAAGGTACATCGGTCCTTTCGAGATTTTAGAAAGGGTCGGCGAAGTCGCTTATCGCTTAGCTCTTCCACCGCAGCTATCTCATGTGCATAATGTGTTTCACATTTCGACGCTTCGAGGCTACAATTATCACCCTTTGCATGTAGTGCAATATCCATCAGATAAAATCCATGAGGATCTTTCATGTGAAGAAGAACCCGAAGCTATATTAGACAAGAAGGAACGAGTCATGAGGAAGAAGTCTATACCGTTTGTGAAAGTGTTGTGGAAGAATCATCCGGAACGTGAGGCCACTTGGGAGATGGAAGAATCTCTACGATAAGAATATCCGCATCTCTTCAAAAATTTGTAAGTGCCATCTCTGTGTATTTTAGGACCTAGTTTGATTTCGAGGACGAAATCTTTTCTTTTAGGGGGAAGAATTATAATACCCGTCAGATATGTATGTGTGTG